TGAATACTTTCCGTACCCACTGTATATATATATATATATATAGCTTTAATTTATTTTTATTTCAGTTTTAGCTTAAATTTACCTTGGTTAGTTCCAGTTACCGAAATCTATTTTTAATAGTTGTAGTTAACAATAACAGCTCTGTTCTGAATGTGAAGTGATAGGAAAACCCACTGTCTACTGTTTTGCATGACAATTTTTTTTATTTTTTTTTTTAGTTAAAACGATTAATCTCAAACTCTGTATTTACATCCAAATATTTTAAGGATTAAAAATAAATTACATTTTACAATATATTCACATAGAAAAACTATTATTTTAAATTGTAATAATATTTCACAACATTACCGCATTTACTCTATTTTTGATCAAATAAGTGCAACCTTAGTCAACATAAGAGACCTCTTTTAAAAACAAAACTAAACTTCTGATAAGTGCTTTGTGCATTCAGTCATCTAATTTGAAGAATAGCTGAGGTTTATGTAGTCAGAGCTCACAAGTCCAGAGGGTAGAAGAAGAAAACCAGGTATTTTCCTTTATAATCTGACAGTTTCAGCTCCTTAAACTCGCCATTGATCACAGCTGTTCCTTCCCAGTGTGGCGCTGGTTTTGAGACTGAAAAGAAAGGAACAGATCACAAAATCAATAATTATTGCAGATATGTTATTGCATATGCATGTATGTGAACTACTGTATCTTTAAGAGATTCAATAGCATGCTTGAGAAAAAAAAAGCATTGACGTGTCCTTAAAAGCTGTGCACTTTTATGCCCCACATAACCCAATAACTGTTAAAATGACCGGATTTGCACAAATAAACAGCACATATTAGTATCTCAAACACTGATGTGAATGAATTATTCTGATAATGCATCAGATGAACGGTCATGCTGACAAAATATAGCCGACAATCCTTCTGGAACAATTGATTTACATTCAATAAAAAGTTTTAGAGCAATTAAACATTCAGTTCAGTTCAAATCCGTCCACATATTTTTCAAATAAGAGACAATGCTAACAGGCCAACAGTAGTACGTGTTGACAGCTGTTGGAGATATATGGTAAATAACATTTTAATGGATATTTAAAAATATAGAGATATATATTTAAGACCACATTTTTCATTTAAACCCATGCATTGAACTTGCATGTGATATGCATAAATAAGCGAAACGCACTTTTGGCTTTGCTCAGGTGAAGGGAATGATCAGAAACCGGGACGCGGAAAGCCTCTCCGGGATAAACGTGTCCACCGGCGTAATTATAACACTCCTGCTCCTTCTTCCAGTCTGCACGGTCACACAGAACCGACTCGGTGAGTAAAAGCAGTGCGCAAACCACGCCGAGCCATTCTCTGGGCGTTTTAACGCAGCGACTGACATCCATTGCTGAGTCTTGCAGGAAGCGCGTCTCTCTTAGTTCGATTATTATTCCTCCTTCAACTCAGCCGCCGCGCGCAGACATCATCGATCTGTATGATGATCGGATCGGCTGCAGCTGCGTTCTATTGAGCGGGTCTGACGGCGATGGCTATAATGTAGGGATCTGGGGTTTCCGCTCCAGCGCGCCATTACAAATCTTTTATTTATTTATTTTCCTCCATTAGAATCCATCATCAGTCACGTACCAATGAAGTTACCATTAATGTATTTTTTTTTATTAATTAAATTTTTTTTTTATTAATCATCAACAATGTAACAGTGTCTGTTGTTATTCTGCGTAAAGTGCATATGTAATTTATTTTTAAATTGATAACGTGTACATCTACATAAGCATTATAAGATATATAGGTTAAGAATGCAATTTTTGTGAGTGTGCTCATCAGTAGTTGATGCAATATTGAGAAAACACTTTTTAAAATTGAAATTATTTTTGTAAATCCAGGGGTCAAAGGTTGTGTGGCCTCTCAATTTTCTGTGTAATTAATTAGGCCTACAGCCACCTGACTAGTGACTGGTGTTTGTGTGAATGTCCACAAACCTGGAAGACTTTCTGAGTGTATATAAGCGGTAGGTTATTTTAGAAAGGAGCATTTAAAAGATGAAAAAGAGGAATTAAGGAGAATCAATAAATTCTGAATAATTTATTGCAATTGTATGAATAATATGTAATCATGTAATCAATAAAAAATTAACTGTAGTCTGATTACGAGTATTTTAAAATGTAATTTAATCTAATTACAAATTCTTAATTTCTGGAATCTGATTACATAATCCAGATTACATGTAATCAGTTACTATTTTTATTTTATTTATTTATTTATTTATTTAGCAGACGCTTTTATCCAAATCGCCTTACAAATGAGGACAACAGAAGCAATCAATTAAAGTTTTAAAACAACTAAAAACAGATCCAAAACTAACAGCTAAAACTTTATAAATACTACCTATACACATTTTAAAAATAAAGAAATTAAATAAAAATGACAAATGCATACAACAAAATTTCAAAACTTAACATTTAAATATAAAACAAAAAAATAAAGCTAAAAACAATTCAAAATATTAAAGAACAAAAGGTATAAGAGTATAAAAAAATTTAAATAACTCAAATTAAATAAAACTAAAAACTTATACAGACATAATAAATTCAGACATAATTTAACTAAAATTAAAATAAATAACATTACATTTAAATAAATGTAAATAAAAAAAATTTGTTAAAAAATAAATAAATAAATAAATAAGCCAAACACCAAAAAAACAACGTACATGTTGTTTGTACATTTGTACACATACATACACACACATATATATATATATATATATACACATTTATAAATTCAATATATAT